ATTCATTTTTAACATTAGACATGTAAATTTATTTTTAAAATAAAAACAATATTTTGTTACTCGTGTCAAAGATAAATAATCTAATAACATGCAAAATTAGCAAATTTTCAAAGTTTAAAAATTCAAAATGTTGACATAACCTTATAAAATAAAAATATTATTGTATATAATTCAATTTATTATAGTAATATATTATTAAGGAAAAATATTGAATTTTTTAAAATAAATGGAGCTTATTGTAAAGATAGAATAAAATAAGATTTTAAAGCTTGGTTTTTTTTGCATTTTATTAATTAGTTTAATAATAATTAAAATGCTATTATTGAAATTGTGTAAAAATTAAAATAATGGTTTATGTACAGCACTTTACCTTTTTACATTAGCAAATTTCTGTCAAAGCAATAATAAGATTAGACATTTATTAATTTATTCAACGCAATAAAATAATAATAGCAACATTATCTGAAATTTCTCGAAAATTTTAAAATTTATATTAAAAATATTTTTATGAAAAGAAAAACGTTAAAATAGTCTCAAGCTAACAACCAAAGTAATTTATGAATAATATTTATGAAGAATTATATTTCACTTCTGTGCTTTAATATTAGCGCTTATGTCTATGTAAAATTTATATGTTTTATGATAAATTTGAGAAATTGTTTTTAATTTAAGTTTAAAATAAATATTCTAAAATTTGCGCGGAAATAAAATTAATTTAGATAAGTTTTATTTCTGAAAGTGAATATTTACTTTAATGTTTTGTTAGTTGCAATACAAACTTTTCATATCTTTTATTCCATATTTATTTATTAAAACGATTTTATTATGGACTTGGCTTATAATAAAAGAATTGAAATGTAATATATTGCAATTTAATATATTTAAGATTAGTCAATTATTTATAATATTTAAAAAATATTTTCATTAAATTCGAAATAAAAATTATTAAATTCAAACAAAATATTTCTCTAAATGTTGCTAAATTTATTCAAAAAATTGCATTAAATATTGCAATGGTTTTGAATAAATCTGAATGTTTTTTTTATTATTTTTGAATTTATAAACTATGCATTTCAGCAATATTTCTCTAACGAAATCTGTCAGATAACAGCATTTTAGTGTAGTACTTATTTCATTAATTTTCCCATTTATTATTTCATCACGTTAAAACCTTGTTTACCAAATAGCAAACTCATTTATTTAAACTGTTCCAGTTTTACGCCATTCAACTTAATCACACATTCCATCGTTGCTCTTCCTCTTCAAACACAAATACCTTTGATATATTCAAATTCAAACGGAACCCGTACTCATTGTGTTCGTCATCTAGTCTATAAACGTAAGCACCTGCGACTTCTCTGTACTTTCTGACAATAATTTGCTTCGTTGCATATGAGAGACGACATACCTTTCACTCTCAATTCGTAACATATTCGAAGTAATTTGGCATTTCTCTGCATGCATACACAGAATAAATATTTAATGAGGGGGAAATTCTGCACCCTATTCTGATACTCTTGCCCAACAAACTAAATTATATTAGCTTATATAAACTATCTAAAAAATTAAATATTTTTCTGTATAAGCTTATTTATATGTTAAAAAAAGAAGGCACAAATTTCAAATCTATTTTACTCTGAATTATTTTAATTATTTATTTACTTTTTTTAAGTAAATTTTGATAGTGTATGTATGTTAAAGCCTTTTGATAATTTCTTTCTGAATATTCGCAATATTCCACAAGCCATTTCCTAAATATGAAAACATATTTTTCCTAAATTTTAGACCTCTTACAGTTGCATCATATATTATTTTCAATATTAAAGATACACTTGTTTTCTTCCTGCATGTTTGTATTTTTCAAAACACCGAGACTAGCAATCTATGAAATGAGAATTGTCACTATATATCTTTATCAGAATCTTGTCACATTCCTCAAATTTATGTAAACAAGAAATATTTAAATATATATATATGTGTGTGTGTGTGTTTTATTTTTATACTGTGTCTGTTTTAAGAAAAACACGCTAAATTAAAATGTTTTATATTTTTAATTATTATTTTTTCATATTTTGTGTTATTTATATATGTGCACACTCCAAATATTTTTATGATATTTCAATTTAAAGCGATTTTTTTTTCTAGATTTCTTCTTAAGTATTTCAGGTTTATATGTAATATTAAATATAAACTTACTGCATTTTTTACTGTGCAATTTTCTTTATTTTCTCTCTTTTCCTTATTTTTATATCAATAAATATTGTAACAGATTTATACACAATTAGGTTTTTAGTAAGTGAATAAAATTATTATTATTAGAAGTTAATATAAAAAAATTTCCATTAATTTATTGTTCTGTTTAAACACTTATTTTATTTTATTTATTTAAAATCTTCCAATTATCATTTGTATATACTTCAATTGATTATTTAAACCTGTTCCTATGAATGTGTGATTTTTGATTTTATATGAATTCTAGATATTTCTGAAAGTATTCCATTTGAAAATCATTTTCATTTAAACTCTACGATAGCATTATGCTGAATACATTTAAGATATTACTGATTTCCATACAGGTGCGTTGGCAAAAGAGGAGATAGGAGATTTAAAGGTCAGAACCCTCGCAATAGGTTTATAAAATGTTACTCGTCACATGAACGTTAGCTGTTATCTAATAAAAAAAATATTCATTATGTTTCATAAATTTTATCAGATTTAATTGCCACATTTATTATTTCGCGTATCTTTTACATGCTTATTTTTAATTTACAGTTCACGCACTTATTATTTTGAAAATTCTCTGTCGTACACAGAATATTGATTCTTATCTCGTGTCTTCATTTATTAAAAAAAAATTAGCCTAAGTCATAATCGATGATTTCATTATTTTCTTAACTTGATTGAAGATATACAGTATAAAGTTCAAAATTTTGACCTGTTTATTCTGTAAAAAGATACATGCTTTTCGAAATCAACCAATTTCATTTTTCATGGAAAAAAGACTCAGTAAGCATGAATTTTTCGAGTTGTCATAATATTTCCTGCTTAATCAGCTTTTCATCATACGTTATATAAGATAACACATAAACTTCTTCAAAACATCATCCTTACCTAAATCAAAGGCAAATCATCTTTCACTTTAACATTCTCACTTAAAATCTATAGACTTGAATAAGTTAATTGTAAGGCAATTTAGGCAATTTTATCCATGGGAAAATGAAAACGATTTAGTCAAACTATGAATACATCAATGTATTCGTAACAATAGAGTCTATATCAAATAAGCTTATAAATCTTTTTATAAAAAGAAATGAACCAATAGACATCACTTAACCCTTTGATCATGACCAATTATTCTAAGTTCAAATAGACAATACATCTCTCATTTTTCCTTTTTTTTTTTTTTTTTTTAATTTTGAATTGGTACAATTTCGAACTGTTTAATATTTCTGCTGTAGGTATTCTACGCAATACATATTTATCATTTCTTACGTATCTAGATTATTATCGAGGCAAAAATTTAATCCTGAGTAATCTTTATATTTGTTTATATCACATGAGTTATTTAATTTTATATTTTCGCGTGATAAATAAATCATGCGGAATCAGCTAAACGCGATAATGATTTAAATATATCAGATGAATTTGAAATGTTTTTATTATCGTCATTTTTTACTTATTGCATTTAGAAGAAAATTTTCACTATAAATCAATTTAAATCTTTTAAAAATTGTTATTAGTTCAAAGCCATTTTGTTATATAAGCTTTATAAGTAATAATTATATATTTAGTTTTTATTAAAATTAATTTTTCTGTTAGTTAGAAGACTAAATAACTCTTATTGTATGAGTTACTATAACCATATTTTTTTATTTTTATATACATTTTATACTGTAAGTAATAGTTATACAGACTTTATGATGACTACTGTAACTATTACTTATGACTATTATTAATATTATAGCAATAGTTATGTCTAATCATACAGTACTATATATAACTATTACTGTATTTATTTTTTATTACTTGTGAAGGTTTGTAGACGTATTCGCGGAGGAGAGAGGGTTGGTCCCTATCCAACAATAAAAAACCAATAAATAAATAAAAACAAAAATAATTTTTTTCTGAAATATGTTTTATATAAAAATGTATGCATATAAGTCATTTTAGATTAAAATATAAAAATACAAAATTTATATACAAACCTATGCCTTCTTGCAATGATACACCACTATGAAGTCTATATTGTACTAATATTCTTATTATTCTTATAATTAACTAGTTTAAACTTCATTTAACACTTTTAATATAAAACATGCTGAATTTTTAAAGTATTTTCTAATTAATAATAAGCTTTATATACACTATAGATGTTTTTGTTTTATATAAATTAAAATGTATTAATAATATTGATACAATACATCTAGAATAATAAGAATCTTAGCAGTTTTATTTAAAATGTTTGATATGCAGAGTTGCTGTACTGTAACTTATTTATCGATAACGATAACTTAATGAAATATTCATACAAAACTTTGTAATAAATTAGTAAATTCGTATATAAATGGTAGACCTTAAATTCTTATTTTATCAATTTTCGATCTGAAACAGCCGATATTGAAATTTAAATTACTCGAAAGAGGATTATCAAATCTGTTTTCAAAATAGGAATTCATTAAAAGGTTAAAGAAAAATAAAATATCAAAAAATCAAATAAAAATAGTTACATTTGGAGTTTCATGCCAAACTGATTCAGGAATATGTTCTTACAAATAACCCATTGCATTTTCTATTTTTGCTACCGAAATTATTCGAATTATTGTTTTAATCAAAGTCTAATTAATTTAGAGAAATTAAAATAAAAAATATTTTTATTTATGTATCTCTTTAATTTTTCCTATCAATAATTTTAATACATTAAAATAACATTTCTCATTAAATTATGTAAAAATGAAAATCAGAAAGTCCCGTGCTTTCATAATTCCATTTATTTTGTAATAATTTACTCGAACAGATTTTATTGCAGCTGTATATTAACAAATGAAAGTGCTATGGACAATTATAATAAAGTAGGACGTTTAATTACGCTTATTATTATTATTTATTATTTTATATTTGTTTAAATAAAAAGAAATAAATAAATTTTAATTAATTTATTATTCGAACTATAATATAATATTAAAACAATTTTAAATTCATGTAATTAAAAATAAATAATTTAATAAGAAATTTTAGCTAAAATTTTCATTTATTTTAGAGATTTTATTATTGTTTTTGGTAGTTAATAGCCAGTTTACGTAATTCTAATCGAAGGTCAGCAGCTCGTAATAATTGTTTTCTATAAATAAAAGTGTTCTTTGAAAAGTTTACGTAATATTTTATTTTAAGGTTTATCATTACAATCTGTAAAATATATTGATTTTATTTAACCCTCCAGAGGTTGCGTTAAAAAACGGAGATTCCCCCAAAAAATTTCCCCGAAGAAAAATGTCTGAAGTCAACAATGTATATGGGATCTCCTAATACAAATTTGCCTAGGTCCCATGAAGTTATAATGCGCCACTTACTGAGAGTAATAATTAACAATCTGATGGAAGAGCACAATAAAAAATGGGTAACTTTATTAAAAAATTCATAACGTTTTATATGGACTGAATGATATAGTTTTGGATATTTCTTTTAAAATTGAACAATTTTAAAGCTTTTAATTAAAAAAAGAAGAAAAAACAATTTGTTCATCTATATAAATTTTGCCAGAGCAAAGCAATGTAATGCGCACGAATAAGATAACACACGATGGTTCAACCAATGCTTTTTCCATTATTAAATTAATATTAATGTACTAACTACTTTATTGTATTACGTCAGATAATTTAAATATGATACAAATAAAATAAATCACACACGTAGATGCATCGCTTTTAATATTGTTTTCTAAAATTTCCTCGTTTATAAAAAATTGTAAAAAATATTAATTCCAAAAAATATGCGTTTTATTCAAAAATTAAATGGATATTTTTTGCAATGGAATTGATATTTTTTATAATTTTTCATAAAAGGAAATTTCAGAAAACAATATTAAAAGTGATGCATCTACGTGTGCGATTTATTTTCAATAAATTAAATATTTAAATATTTATATACAATTAATGTATTTCATATATTTGCAATCTGAAAATATTAGTAATTAAAGCAGATTTTTGTATAATTAATGTAAAAAGTTTGATGCATTAGAAACAAGAAATAAATGTGATTTTATGTTGACATACAATACTTATTATTTATGAAACTCACTTATATTTATTTATTTATTTATTTTTAATTTTGATAAGTTGATTTTACAAATGATATCTATGAATTATGTTCTATAGTGTCTTTGTTTTCAAAGTGTACTTGTATAGTACCTCCTGTGGTACACGGAATATATTCACATAATTGCGTACCATACGTTTAAAATTTTCCTTTAAGTTTAAATAATATATGACACAATAAACTACCCAATAACTTTTTAATCTAATCCGGATTATACAAATATCATTACAATAGTTTAAAGAATGATTTACAAATTAAGCATATACGAAACCTGTGATTATAATGCCCCGTGATTATAAACCTAAAGCCTCGCGTTTTCAGGCGCCTCAAACACGTACAAATATGTGCTTGTCCATATTCCATTTTCGTCAATTTTTCGTAATTCGGTAGTAGCTAGAGTATCCTGGACTTCGTGCTAGGTCTATCACGTGATAAGGGCTTTTACAATATATAAATTTATATACATTTGTACAACTCTCGTAATTTCACATTTGCCCAGGACCTTTTGCAATCTAAAACCGCCACTGATAAAGAATTATATAAAATGAACTTGAATACTAATTTTGATTTGGAAAGAAAACGTTTGTATTAACCACCAGCATGAATGGTCTTACATAAAATTGAAATTTTCGTTTTTTCCATTCATCGTTCTTTATGCCATTTGCAATCTTTTTTTGAAATTAAAACAAGCAAAATATATATACTTTTTTTTAAAAAATAAATTCTCTATTAAAGCAGAAACTAGAAGATGGTTCTGCTTAAACATAAAATTTAACTGGGAACGTCTAATTAGTTGATACACGTTAAGTTTCAACAATGATATGAACTATATAAGTTAATTACCAATTAGTAAGCCTAGTTTCGTTTCAAGTTAGGCTTTAAGAAAAGATATGCTTAGATTATCTTTTTCATTTGAAATCTCTATTTGTCCTTTTACAAAAATAATTATTTGTCCTTTTAGAAAACTGAAAGCGGATGTATCACATCCTGGATAAAGATTCGTAAATGTCTGTTTTCTTATCTCTCTTCGTAGAATTATATTCATTTATCAAAATAAATAGCGTATTTTTCAGTCTGATTTTCTACTTCCTACTTCAAAATTTTTATTAAATTTAATTAACATTTTAGTTTTAAAAAATATAAAATATTCAATAATTTTGATGTATAAAATTTGCTTTTTTTTTTTATTCCTATAATATTGAAAGTCGGAGAAGCGGCACTTACTGTAATTATTTTTACTTTTTTCGCTAGAATTGTGTAATTTTATAAAAACCATAATTGTATTACATCATTTAAAGTTTATGCAAGCTTCGGGCTATTATTTCTTGAACCTTTATTTGCAATCATTTGCCTAAATCATTATTATCTTTTGTACGATGTCGAGAGGTATCATTAAGCAGTTTTTTTTTATTTTGTTTACTTTCCTACCGTTATTAGTAAATAAATTAATAGTTGTAAGAGTTCTTTATATAAGGAAAAAATAAAATATAAAATAAGATACTAATTATGTTAATATTGTTAACAAGAGATAGTAAAACTTGTGGCATTTGCATATTTATTCATATATATTCTTATAACTAGCATTTTGTCTCAATTATTTCCGCATCGTCCTTATTTATACAATAGATAGTAATTTGTGTAAGTCTATCGAAAATAGAATTAACAGCAGTTCTGATTTCCGTGTTAAGAACAAATAAAGTTCCCTTTCCCTATTGACTATAATAAATTAGTTAATAAGAAATATATCTAGATACATATTCCTACATAAAAATATAATGAAGTTTTCACGAAAATGCAATGAAATACACAAAAAATGATTTTATTATTTAAATTATTGTTCATTAAATTTATTTTTTGTGTCAAGAATTTTGTTTCTGTTTATTTAAATAGAAAGTCTTTTATAAGCATCCACTTAAGAGATATTATTGTTATGTTTTTTTTTATTATGACGAAACATCTCTACTGTTGTATAATTGATGATAACGAATTTTCTAACGTTTTCATTTTTATGGAAGCTTTAAGTAATTATTTTACAATTTTTATTTCGAAATTCTAAATTCGATTGGAAACAGTTTAAATTTTATTTAATGTTTTATGGTTTTGTTTCTAATTCTAATACAGTCATCTTCGTTATCTTTGTATACGATACGTTTTTATTTTTTAATACCAATATAATACATTACATTCTGAATTTTTCTCAAAACATTATAAATAATTTTAAAAATTTTATTTATTTTCTTTTTTAGTGTACGCTTTTTAAATAACCAGAGTATATTATATGCCTTATTATATTTGTATGGACTTATTTGTCACTGACCCTACATGATTACATCATCATGACATTTGTTCTGTAAATTAGTGTATATATTCATTCAAAACGTTAAGGTGCAGATATTTTTGGATTTTTATGGGGGAAAAATACTGTAAATATAAATGATGGATAAACTGATAAAGCGAAATTGATAGTTGTTAAAGATATCCTGAATAATCAGAATTGAAAGTAGAAGTAATTTATTAAACGTTACTGTTTCATATTCGCTTCGAGTTTTCATTTTTCCTACTTGTTTCATTCACTTGTTATTCCTTATTTAAAAAAAAAAAATAAATCCAAAGTAGACTATATTATTATATTTCGAACCTAAATATAGCCTAAATGTTATTTAGTAATTTCATAAATTGATTTAAAAAATATATATATTTATTTTTGACCTATAGACTATAAGGACATCGTCAGATAAAACCCGGAGTAGTAGTATTAGTATTAGTAGTAGTCTAGACTGAGAATAAACTGCCGGTAGATTTGGCCTTTTTTAATAAGGTCAAAACTTGCAGTTCTTATAAAATGCTGGTGTGTACTGTACGCTACATCAAAATTACTATGAGCCTTCATATAATTTATTACTAATTCACATATATTAAATATATTTTATATATAATTATGCCTCACTATTTAAGGAATTAATGGAAATTCCGCCTCTCTCAATTAATTTTAATTATTGATTTTGTGAATTGGAAAGGAGTTTCAATATTATGTCGATACGATATCGTTTCAATTTGTTTCTCGATGTTTATTATCGCTATGACACTTAGTTTCCTTGTTAAAATGACACATTAATAATGTGTAAAAAAGTTAACGACCTACGTACTTTCTATGCCTTACATCTTCCAGAAGGAAAGTAAGACAGAAAGAAATATAGTTTGTAGTTGCAGACAGTGTATAACTTCGTGAATGATGTTAACGTGACAAAGCGGATATTAAATAGCCGATGTAAAAATCTGCAGTCATCAAATAATGAATTGAAATTTTCTCAACAAAAGCCTTTATTTCCTTTAATAATGCATATTTAAAAAAATTGATGTTTCATGTTTTAAAACAATAAAAAAATGAATTAAACCATTTTAAAAAGTAGGAATAGATAATAACTATACAAATTTATATATTTCCTTGAGTTTTCTTTCTAGTTTTTTATTTGACAGAAATTATTTAGTTTTAATAATTAATTAAATACGAAATAAAAATAATTTTTTTCACAATTCACTGAATAAATTATTTGATATAACTTTGACGAAGATATATTTAAATCGAACAATATAATATTTTTATTTAAATATTTAAAATATAAATGTTTAAGAATTATATTACAAATGTAACTCTATATTTAACTGTTAGATAATATAAGTTGAATGTAACTATTTATAACAGATTGTTTAATTAATAAAACAGATATTTAATTAAATAAATATACAATATTTTCTTAATTAATTTGTAAAATATAACATTCGAACTATTTATTTTCAGAGAATTATTTTAAATCAATATTTTTATAATTTAAAATATTTTACTCTTTAGTTTTATGTTTAAATATAGGCTATATTTGGCCTCAGATGAAACATAATGCAAGTTTAAAGTACAGAAAAGTTAATTTTGGAATTTTATTTTTATAAAGTGAAATATTTAATTGTTCTTAGTATAGTTTATGTGTGTATAATATATAATTATGCAACAAAAATAAAACTTTTTCTCGGAATGAAGTTATTGGAATCATTCGTTCGCTGGAAAAGAATTCGAGAAGAATACACTTATCATCTGGCAACAGTAATAATTTCTCCTCCCACTAATAGCACGATCATGTTGTATGATAGAATCCATGTTGGTCCGAGCATTTGCTTCGAACAGATAAGGAAAATCTGCTTCCGTCACGTGATTGGTTTCGCAGCTGCTATTTCTCAAGGTCGCGTCCATGAACTTCATTGCTACCAAGTCGTCCAATGATCTCAAATTATATTCTACTCTAACCTTTCTAAAAATATCAAAATACACTGAAATAACTAATAACTTATTGATAAAAAAAAACATTTAAATTCTTAATTAATCCAAAGATAATTAAGTCCGTTCGGAGACTGCGGGGGTGTTTAACTGTTTGAAAATTCTGTTAAGTTACCAAATGAGAATCATTCCTTTAATTACTTCATAATCCTTAAATTTAATGAATCGTGTATTTGAAAAATGATATATATATGTTATATATATATATATATTTTTTTAAATTATCGATGGATTTCAATATGGGATTTAACGTTAATACGTTTGTTATTTATTCTCCCACGTACAGGATGCGTGGCAAATATCTGAATCCACATCATTCGTCGTAGGAGGTTTATATCTAACCACGTTACCAACCTTGAACGTGGGTGCTAATCTACGTTAAGTTCAGCAGTCCAGATGATTAAAAGCCATCGAGTGAGAAATCTTAATTGGAGGACGAGATTCAAAGTACGATTCCATTATTGATATCGTTTATCAAACACTCATTTTTTTTCTTTTTAATCGAAATTATGTTTTAAAACGTTTAATTATCATAGAAGTCTTTTCATTGAAAATTTAGGATGCCATTTTTAAATATTGAGAAATTGTTAATAATTTTCTTGGAAGTATTTTTCGATTGAAAGCAAGAGTTGCGTGTAATGAAGGCCTAATACTTTTTTAATACAATTAATAAATGGTTTTAAAACGTAAGATATTAATAGATATAAACATATTTTGCATTGGCAATAATTCTTGAATAGGTTTCTTATAAGTCTTCCATTTCAAACAAGCATTTCTAATCTATCAATCAGAACAAAAGTCAAATGTCAGTCGATTTATATGCCTAATAATTTTATTAAATCATATAAATCTTAAGAATTAATTCCTATTTATTATTATTATTATTATCATTATCGTCTGTAATTTGGACACATCAGGAATTACATAGTCATAGTTACGGTTTTAAAATGAGCACGTATGAAAAAATTAATATTTATTTATGTTTAGACACTAAAATAATTTTTGCTTACTTTGCTACAATCGCGTGTATAAATCTTGTAGATTGTTAAAGTAAAAAATTTTCTTTTAAATTTACTTTTAAAAAAGGAGTAAAATTTATTTTAAATCATTAGCCGTCAGCATCAATGAAATTTACATTTTTAAACAATTAATTAATCTAAGAAAAGCGCTAATGAATTAATTAAAATTTATTATCGCTTAAATGTTATTAAATTTTTATATTAATGCCAATTTATTATTCGGTATATTATCAAAGTATATTTATTTAAAACAAATTAAATTTTTAGAAATATTTTTAATTTTTTGACTGAGAAAAATGTTCGTAATTCCTTCAAAGACAATCTAAATGAATTCATATCATGCGATTCATATCAAAATTTAGATATTTTATTATATCAGAAGTGACGCGGAGAAAATTCTTGATAAAACACTTCTTTATTTTATATTAGTTCGTTTTCATAATATAAATATGTATAATTAATACACGTAAGTTTTAAACTTATAAGCATTTTTTTTATATTTTAAAAATTTATTAAATTATTTGCCAAATAGGTTACTAAACGTGGTGTTGTTAGCGGGTGTCTAGACAAATTGTAATGTCTCGTGTTTATTTTTGTCTCTAATGGTTAAATCTATGAAAAAAACAGAAATTGAAAAAGTGTGTGTGAATGACCGAATGCACATCGAATACTGAAAACAAGAAATATTTCGAATTTCGTTTACTCTCGAAAGAAATGGGAGTTACATAATTGCTCGATCTTCACGAAATCAACACCAACGAGTCTCTCTGGAAGAAAATGTCACTAAAGCGCTAATTATGTTGCAACCGAACGGATTTCTGTCAACAAAATGAGGAAGTACACTGGCCACAGATTGAATTTGTTAAGTCTTCTTTAAATTTTTCCATAACGCTATTTGATAATTTCCTGTAATTATCTATGTGGAAATTATATTCTACGAATATCATTAATATGCCTCTCTATTTTGGGGTTCAATAACTTTGCTGTTATAAATAGAGAACGGATATCCCGAAATTCTATCTTTTATTCATTAACATAAGACCTCTGACGTAAATAACTTTTTTTTTTTTAAATGCTAAAACGAAAATAAACTTTAACCCGAAATCGTATCCTACGTTATTTTAAAAACTAATGTTAGAAAAGTATTTTGGATCTTACTATATTTTTACAAACTTACTGCCACGCGAAATTTTGGAGTTATTATCAATAAATTTATTTTAATTACAAAGCAACGTGCCAGTCCTCACAACAAAGCAATAACCATGTCCTAGTAACAACAAAAACGTAATTTTTTTTTAACAGAATGATATTTATAATTTGAAAATATTTCTGAAATTCTCATGTTCTAAATTTGAAAAATGTTTAGAATCAGAAATTTGATGCAGTTTTTCGATAATTAAAACCTGAAAAATATAATAAAATCAACATTTACTGTTTTGTTTACGTTTCAACAGTATGTTTTCAAAGCAATATTTTTGATATTTGTAATTTTGGATATAATTTTTTTATTTTTATACAATATTTAATTGAAAATAAAAAGTAAAAAACAATTATTTTTCGAATTATCTAAAAAAAATTGCTACGTAAATCTAATATTTATAGACGATTGCATTTATAGAGAAAAGGATACGGACGTGAATTACATAAACAATCATTTATAACTGATATTACCATTTATAATCACTGTTTCATGGCCAGAAAGGATCCACGTGTCCGTTCTCATATCTTATTCAGACAATTCAATATGGGAATAGGCACGTGGCATCCTTTCTGATCAAGTGAAAACAATGACTATCTATACTTATCCATTCCATATTTACCCTATTCTTCCTCATATGTTAATAATGAAATGTCTGAATGAATATGCAAAAATCTTTTATAAACTCTTTCTGCTAATTAATTAGTTTATTTGAAACAAAATTCATTTATTCTAATGAAATAAACATTTTAGAACGTAAAGAGTTTTGTTTATATTTACATATATTATACGATATTTTAAATAATAATGGGAATTTGAAAATATTCTTTTGAAATTAACAATATATCATGTTAAAGTTATCAAAGAATTTAAAAGATTAGAAAACAATACGATGTGATAATTATCAATTAATTGCAGACCACTTCACTAAGACACTGATAACTCTTCTTTATTTTGTTGTTAGAATATATTAAAATTAAGTTGTAATTCTGTAATATTACGTATTTAATAATAAGTAAATAATTAATTAATTATGTTTGGTAATAGTTTGTTAGAACGAGGCGTAAAAGAAAGGAAATGGAGGCTCTTGTATGAGCCTTACCCCTTTTCGAAAGCCATAAAAATATATAAGCGAAATAAATAAATAACAGATTTTTAAAACTTTTATTTATATCACTTTCATGTTTTTATGTTAAAAACAGGGCAATCTCTGTGGCGGCTGACATGCTGACCTCCCTCATGCCTAATTGAATTCCTTCATGGCTAATTAATACAAGGAGTCCAGCATGGCTAATTGGCCATGCGAACTACTGCTATCTGGGATTAGTTAATAGAGATTGTTAAAGTAAAAAATTTTCTTTTAAATTTACTTTTAAAAAAGGAGTAAAATTTATTTTAAATCATTAGCCGTCAGCATCAATGAAATTTACATTTTTAAACAATTAATTAATCTAAGAAAAGCGCTAATGAATTAATTAAAATTTATTATCGCTTAAATGTTATTAAATTTTTATATTAATGCCAATTTATTATTCGGTATATTATCAAAGTATATTTATTTAAAACAAATTAAATTTTTAGAAATATTTTTAATTTTTTGACTGAGAAAAATGTTCGTAATTCCTTCAAAGACAATCTAAATGAATTCATATCATGCGATTCATATCAAAATTTAGATATTTTATTATATCAGAAGTGACGCGGAGAAAATTCTTGATAAAACACTTCTTTATTTTATATTAGTTCGTTTTCATAATATAAATATGTATAATTAATACACGTAAGTTTTAAACTTATAAGCATTTTTTTTATATTTTAAAAATTTATTAAATTATTTGCCAAATAGGTTACTAAACGTGGTGTTGTTAGCGGGTGTCTAGACAAATTGTAATGTCTCGTGTTTATTTTTGTCTCTAATGGTTAAATCTATGAAAAAAAACAGAAATTGAAAAAGTGTGTGTGAATGACCGAATGCACATCGAATACTGAAAACAAGAAATATTTCGAATTTCGTTTACTCTCGAAAGAAATGGGAGTTACATAATTGCTCGATCTTCACGAAATCAACACCAACGAGTCTCTCTGGAAGAAAATGTCACTAAAGCGCTAATTATGTTGCAACCGAACGGATTTCTGTCAACAAAATGAGGAAGTACACTGGCCACAGATTGAATTTGTTAAGTCTTCTTTAAATTTTTCCATAACGCTATTTGATAATTTCCTGTAATTATCTATGTGGAAATTATATTCTACGAATATCATTAATATGCCTCTCTATTTTGGGGTTCAATAACTTTGCTGTTATAAATAGAGAACGGATATCCCGAAATTCTATCTTTTATTCATTAACATAAGACCTCTGACGTAAATAACTTTTTTTTTTTTAAATGCTAAAACGAAAATAAACTTTAACCCGAAATCGTATCCTACGTTATTTTAAAAACTAATGTTAGAAAAGTATTTTGGATCTTACTATATTTTTACAAACTTACTGCCACGCGAAATTTTGGAGTTATTATCAATAAATTTATTTTAATTACAAAGCAACGTGCCAGTCCTCACAACAAAGCAATAACCATGTCCTAGTAACAACAAAAACGTAATTTTTTTTTAACAGAATGATATTTATAATTTGAAAATATTTCTGAAATTCTCATGTTCTAAATTTGAAAAATGTTTAGAATCAGAAATTTGATGCAGTTTTTCGATAATTAAAACCTGAAAAATATAATAAAATCAACATTTACTGTTTTGTTTACGTTTCAACAGTATGTTTTCAAAGCAATATTTTTGATATTTGTAATTTTGGATATAATTTTTTTATTTTTATACAATATTTAATTGAAAATAAAAAGTAAAAAACAATTATTTTTCGAATTATCTAAAAAAAATTGCTACGTAAATCTAATATTTATAGACGATTGCATTTATAGAGAAAAGGATATGGACGTGAATTACATAAACAATCATTTATAACTGATATTACCATTTATAATCACTGTTTCATGGCCAGAAAGGATCCACGTGTCCGTTCTCATATCTTATTCAGACAATTCAATATGGGAATAGGCACGTGGCATCCTTTCTGATCAAGTGAAAACAATGACTATCTATACTTATCCATTCCATATTTACCCTATTCTTCCTCATATGTTAATAATGAAATGTCTGAATGAATATGCAAAAATCTTTTATAAACTCTTTCTGCTAATTAATTAGTTTATTTGAAACAAAATTCATTTATTCTAATGAAATAAACATTTTAGAACGTAAAGAGTTTTGTTTATATTTACATATATTATACGATATTTTAAATAATAATGGGAATTTGAAAATATTCTTTTGAAATTAACAATATATCATGTTAAAGTTATCAAAGAATTTAAAAGATTAGAAAACAATACGATGTGATAATTATCAATTAATTGCAGACCACTTCACTAAGACACTGATAACTCTTCTTTATTTTGTTGTTAGAATATATTAAAATTAAGTTGTAATTCTGTAATATTACGTATTTAATAATAAGTAAATAATTAATTAATTATGTTTGGTAATAGTTTGTTAGAACGAGGCGTAAAAGAAAGGAAATGGAGGCTCTTGTATGAGCCTTACCCCTTTTCGAAAGCCATAAAAATATATAAGCGAAATAAATAAATAACAGATTTTTAAAACTTTTATTTATATCACTTTCATGTTTTTATGTTAAAAACAGGGCAATCTCTGTGGCGGCTGACATGCTGACCTCCCTCATGCCTAATTGAATTCCTTCATGGCTAATTAATACAAGGAGTCCAGCATGGCTAATTGGCCATGCGAACTACTGCTATCTGGGATTAGTTAATAGTATTTTAATAATAATAATTTTACTACATTAAAATGCTTATAGAAGGTGCATATACACGCACCATCATTTGTTACAGAGTTATTTTAATAAATAGCAATAAATTATTTAAACAAATATATGACAATTGTTGAAATATAATTGAATAGAATTAAATATTTATTACCTATCTCATAAATTCCTATTTATATAAACAAATAAACAATATGTAGAATATAATAATAATAACAACAATAATAAAGTATGTCAATGATGCAACAAATTTTGAAAAGACCTTCGTGGAATTATCTATTATTTTATTTTCCGGTATATTTAGAATGAAACATTATATATATTTCCATATAAACAGCATTTTCTGGTTATTATAAAAGTACTTTATTTTATATTTAAATTATATAAATAATATAATTTAAATATAAATTAAAAGCTAATATAAATTCCGTAACGTATTTTAACTCGTATATAATACTAAAACAACATCAAACAACTAGAAAAATTATTGCTTAGTGCAATATGTAGTGTACAAAGCAAGTACAGTACATCACTACGATGCATTTATTACTATTAATTATATTTTTGCATTATTAGTATTATCATCAGACATTTATCATTATTTTTCTGTATATTAATATATATAGAAACATAACAGATTCTCCCATGTATATGCTTACAATATACAAAGCAATACGAGAGAAATCTTGCAAAAGTGTAGGTAATAGAAAAAAAAGTAAATAATAGAAAAAACTAGTTTGAAATTCGATAACTATCATCATATTCCAGATATTTTTGCATATTTAAGTAACAAATTATTATTTTTAATAGTAACATTTATATTTTATAAACCTAATACATTTATTTATTTTTAAATGCATGTTCATGGATTAAATATCATTTAAAATTTCATTAGAGTCATTTATTTATTAAAGAATAAGTTAACTTTTTCAACTTTTTCAAATAATCGCCGTGTTATGAAAATACATTGGTGCATATTTTAATAAATTATATTATTGATTTTTTTTTCCAGAAAATATAAACTTGTGATTGAAAATATAAAGGATTCGGATGTTATAACCTGTGTGAACCTAACAATCGAGACATCGGTTAGTCATTTACATTATGTAACAATTGTAATTTTATCTGCGGCCTTGACTGAGTTCTCTATTTGCTGATCGAGTATTTGGGTCTTGTGTTTTCCTGTTCTCACCGGACCAAGAAATCAAAATAAATGGAGTCATTTTACAAAATGTATTAAACAAAAGTAACTTTCTGACATAAAATGACCTCTATTTTTATATTGAAAAAAAAATTATTTGACATCCCCTAAAACACTGGTTTTTTTTTTGTAAAAATAAAGATTGTGTTTAAAAAATGAATGTAAAATTTCAACATTTAAAATGATTTCCTCCCATTTAAATGTTTAAACTTTGATAACGATCGTTTTAAAATGTTTAAGGGGGGATTCTACGAACCGAAAGCGGTAAATATGTTTACTAGAAAAATTATCGAAAATATTTATTTGAATTTTGATTCTAGAGTATAAATGACATTTAATGATACCATTTAATCGAGAGAAAAAAGTAAAGGAATATCATTTGTAATTATCGTGTAAAGTTGCTTCAAAATGGTCATTGCTTATTATTTTGTCCACAAACGCAAAGAAATGGCTTAACGCAAAACTAACCAAGGATTAAATGGAGAGAAAATAATACTGTTGTTTTTAAAACTGTTATTTGTGGCAACTTAATTATTACTTTTTTTTCTATTTTGCAATAATGGCAGTAGCGACAGCAGAGACGCTTGACAAACGATCCTTGATGGTCATTCTTATCCAATGGTTGCGCTAAGCTCTTATCCATCTCGACTCGTTCGACACATTTATAATTCCGGAAATTTTCTTTTATTATGATTTCTCTTTTTATAAATAGCACCAGATGGCTCTGCTTGTGTCATGCCCCACTTTCCTCCGATCCATCCATGCTCTTTCTTTGCCCACTTTATTATTCACAGAACGAAAAAGAGATCATTAATAAAACATGTGTTGCATTTGAGAAATAGAACAGAACTATTAAATAGAAACATTTGTCTCCAAATATAGTAACCGTATCTAAACATAAGCGGAAAAATTTAGGCTTTTGTATTAAAAATAACGCCAATTAATTAATTATAATCTTCGATAAATATTTAGTTTCCAAATGCGAATTAATGAGGGCAAACGTTTCAATTTTGATTGAAATGTCCAAATGTTGGCTTATAAACAATCGGTTAAACCGACAAAAAAAGGAAATCTTAAACTTCCTTGAGAAGGTGAATGTTTGTTTGTAGAATATAGACATTGCGTCATTATTCTTCATTGATTTAGAACATTTATCCGCTATTTGTATGCAAAATAAGTTTATAACGCCCTAATTCCGTTAGACGATTTTGATTCTTACAAGGGACGTCCCTTTTATTTAGGACAAAGACATGTAATATTCCGGAAGTCAGATCGAAGGATAGCCGACCTCATACCCTGTGAATTATTGAGTCGTCTACCCTTGATCTGATCTGATTATCGAATGGCTTGAATTAGTCATTCGATTGTGTTGTGTTACACCGGTCTTNTTGGCATTTAGAGGGCGTATAGAATCTATTAAATCTAATATAAGAGAGTTAATTATATTGAACTTGCTTATTTATTAAGTGCGTTAGATAATCTATTAATTAAAAATACATTTAGAGAAGTGTACGGTTTTTACTGGCTTATCGAACAAACGAATACGAATAGACCCTAGACCAGTGTTTCTTAACAGGGGGGCCGCGGCCCCCTGGGGGTCCGTAAGAAGTTTGCCGGGGGCCGCCAAATTATGCAAAATTTCCTTCAGAATATAATAAAAAGAAAATTGATGTATAACCGAATATCATATTGAAAAGTGAAATAAGAAAGATAAAGTTTTTGTATTTAGTTTTTTTTTTTTATTTATTTCTTATTTCTTCCTACTTACAACTTTGTTAGTACAGAAGAAATAAATGCAAATATGCTACTTACACCGCAGTATTTACTTCTTTTATTCCAAAGTAATTCTAAGAAACTATTAATGCTTGGAATTTTAAAAATAAAGCAATAATAAAAAATCAATTATAGATAATTTAACAAATATAAATTATTATTTTTAAAAATGGGGGTCACATAAAAATTATGAAATATTTGGTGGGCCGCGAGTATAAAAAGGTTAATAACCACTGGTTTATAATATATACAATACAGTATTATATATTTTTCTTATAAAGATATTTTACAAAAATTCTGATTTTATATTAAATAAAACTTCCAGTAACGAAACTATGTATTAAAAATTAAATATTATTGATATAATTTTTTAACTTAAAAAAGTTATTTAAAGATTATTATTTACTTAATGTATATATTGGTTGTACAAGAAAACAAATTTGTCTTTTACTTTTGACATTATAAAATCTAATACGGGAAAAAATATATTTATATAAAACTGAAGTAGAATAAACTTAATAAAATTTTAATTTAACGCGAATTCTTATAAAATATCCAATATTTTAATAGAAGAAAACTCTCTTTTGGGAAAGAAAAAATAATTATAATTAAAGACTCTTCTTTGTTTAAACGTCTTCACTATTTTACGAATCATTTATGAGAAGTAAGTATTGAAAAAGAATATAAACATAAGTGCTATTGTGGTTTAGATAATTAGATTAAACAATTACAAAAGGATATTTAATTCGTTTATTAGATATTTTGCAAAATATTATTGTAATAAGAGTCAGGAGTTCGCTTATTCTTTGTAATGTTAGAAACGAATTTGTCATGTAAGGTGCTGTTTAGAAGAGAAGACAAATAAATTTTGCAATCATGTTTTGAATAATATGCTGGATAAGAGAAATAACGTTCGCAAATAGCTGTCTTTTCTGAAATGTCTAGACGACTTTTTTAACCTTTTATGGAAAACGAGATGAACAGACTATCTGTATTTTTATTCGTTTTTTATGTGAAACTATATAACCCTTTCTTCTTCTTTTTTAATATAAAAATATTAAATTCTTCAAATTTTATATTTTGAATTGTTTCACGTTGATGTAACTTTATTTAAAAAATATATATAGCTTATCTGTCCTTTAAAATATCTGTTGACCTTTAGATACTTTTCGGGGGAAAAAAAATGAAGGTTATAAATAGAAATGCTGTATTTAAATTTAGATTTAACAACACATTGTTGAAGAGTCGAGAGAAATAAACAAGTAATGCTTAAAATTTGAGTGTTACTTGCACTTTAAAGGCATCACTCACTCACTACTCGAAAAATTTATGTAAAAACTTTTGTTAAATTTAAAAAGCGTGAAGAAACAAATAGGAAAATTATAAAATTCATCCTTATCTCGACTTCTATCACTTCTATTCTGGGGAAAAAAATTGATAACTTGATTGCTTATAATATATGATCTACGTCATTTTTGGCAATCGTTAAAACTGTGTATTTAAAACAGGAAATATATATTCAAAATAAATTTAGAAGATTTTTTACATGAGTTTCATATAGTTTTCCTCTTTAACAGCCTTGAATGTTATCTCGAACAATAATATTTTTCTTAGTGAAAATTTTAATAGTTAAAAGGAGGAATTCTATTATGTATTTAAATCGGTTACAAATCTCTCAAATGTCTGTATATATATATATATATATGTGAAAATTTTAATAGTTAAAAGGAGGAATTCTATTATGTATTTAAATCGGTTACAAATCTCTCAAATGTCTGTATATATATATTTTAATAAAAGTTTTATAAAATCTGTTTATTAAAACTGCTGTTTAAATTTAATAAAAAAAAAAGTATTTTTGATAACATTTAGGCCTGAAAGTTATTTTATTTTTTAAATATTTATAGACTACATAGCCTATAGATATTTACAGAATAAAATTTAATTTTAATGATGTTTTAATTAGTATTCTAGACTTTTACTGAAATTTGATATCTAATTACTAATCGTATCTTACCAGATTCAATTTTCTAAGTAATGACGTAAGAATTGAGGAAAGTCAAATACTGTATAAAAATTTACAAATTAGATCTAGAAAAAAACTAAAATTTAAATTTAAAATCTTTATAACATTAATTCTTATAATGTTTATAATATATTCTTTTTATAATAATTAAATTATATGATTTTTAAGTGGATAAATGATACAAATAAGTTAAAAATGATGTAATAACGACATTAAGATATGAAATTATTACGAATTTTGCTATTTCTATCTTAATTTAGGTAAATATATAAATGTTTTACTGTAGAAATGACATTAATTATCATAATTTTAATTTATTTTGAAAGAAAACTGTAAAAATCTCATAAATTAAGTCTTGTGTCATGTTAATTAAACTTGAATCTGATGTAAAATATTATAAAAATTTAAAATTAAATAAAATATTGAAGCTTTTAGTAAATGTATGCGTGCTGTAAAAATTGAATAGAAATTATTTTTATTTTAATTAATATAATTGATGGTTTATAGCAGTGTTTCTTAACAGGGGGCCGCGGCCCCCTGGGGTCCGTAAGAAGTTTGCCGGGGGCCGCCAAATTATGCAAAATTTCCTTCAGAATATAATAAAAAGAAAATTGATGTATAACCGAATATCATATTGAAAAGTGAAATAAGAAAGATAAAGTTTTTGTATTTAGTTTTTTTTTTTTATTTATTTCTTATTTCTTCCTACTTACAACTTTGTTAGTACAGAAGAAATAAATGCAAATATGCTACTTACACCGCAGTATTTACTTCTTTTATTCCAAAGTAATTCTAAGAAACTATTAATGCTTGGAATTTTAAAAATAAAGCAATAATAAAAAATCAATTATAGATAATTTAACAAATATAAATTATTATTTTAAAAAATAGGGGTCACAAAAAAATTATGAAATATTTGGTGGGCCGCGAGTATAAAAAGGTTAAGAACCACTGCCCTAAGGTTTCCATATCTGGTTTTGTCTTTCATCTAGCTAACTTCGTTCTTGAGATTAAGGAAAGACAGATGGACGGACAGTCGATAGTGGGAATTTATAGGTCTAAAATTTTTTCAAATTGCAGCCCAAATACGATTAAAAATTGCCAATTCCAAACTTTTCTAATATAGATATCCTTGCTTTGTTTATAACATATTATCAAAGATACAAAATACATACCAAAACTCAAACACAGTAACATTACTTTTCTCATTTTACCAATTATTGCAGTCACATCATCTTTACAATCATTGAATACTTAGCTCCTAAATTTCTTTGCATCCTCCATAACTGCCAGTAACATAACATGTCATTGTTTTGTTCTGATAGTTACTAGCCACATATGAACAAATTAAACATTTTTTCAATGTTAATGGTTTATGTCTTCTAGCGACAGACAAAATTAATCAATTTGTTATTCTTCAAAACCTAGAATTTAACCATAACGCCAATGAATTTTTAACACAGGCTAATTGTATACTTTTAGAAAAAATTTGTGCATAGTTTAGTTCAAAAATTATACAAAATTCTTGTTTACACTGCTATTGAAGTACTAGGTTCAACTAATCTAAAACTGCCAAAAAATTTTATTTTATCAAAATATTATTGGCAAAGTTGAAGAGACTATAAATGTCAGCCTTAATATTACTTTTTTACATCCTGATACAACCACATGACCATCGACTGTCATTCAGATATTATTCGTTTTATTTTTAAAATTATAACTTTCTGTATCTTGTTCTATTCTGATATCCATTTCCATAGTATATGTTTTTTACTTGAAGATGATTGCTAAAGACAATTGAAAATGTTTGTTTTTCTCCATCATTTTATGTTATGAGCTGGATTTTTCTTTTGTAAGCAAGATTCATTGTTTTGACATATTCTTAAAAAAATTGGAAAATTTGTAAAAAGACAAAAAATTAACACAAATATTACATACGTTTTTATCCACAGTTTCAGGTTCTAAGGCTTTACTGATTCGACAACCAAGCACTGGTGTTCGAGGTTCTGAAGATTGTGCAATTTCTTCTAATTTGTTAAACATATGTGATTCACTATTAAAATAAATTATTAATAATATCTATATTATTAACATTTTTATATTGTTGATAAAATAAAATTATATACAATTAGTAATTACCTTCCACCTATCCACTTTCTTTTTTTAAATTTATTTGTTAAAATTGTATCTTGTTCATCATTATCATCTTCAAACTCATTAACTCTAAAAGTAACACATATTCAAATAATAGATGCTATTTGTATATACTATAAACAATATTTCAAATAAACAGAAAATTTAATCATGATTTGTTTTGTATTATCTTACAGTTTTCTAATTCCTTTAGTTTCTGTATACATTTTTTTAGCTTTCTGTTTAGCATCTTCTGGTGTTAGATGATGATTGAATTGCATTAATAACTGCTGGGCAAATGGTTGACCAGCACCATAAATCCGACCATAATTAATTATCTAAAATGTTGACGTTGATAAGATAATTTATTTAGAATAGTTTAAAGGAAAAATGATTAATGATTTAATAAACTATTATATAAAATTAATAAGCTTAAATAGCATAATAATTTATTATATTAAATACATAATTATTCTTTCTCTTTTTGAGATTCTGCACAATCTTCTCAATACATCCATTTCAACCATTGTTACTTTTCTCCTCTCTTCTGCAGTCATTCTCCACCCCATATAACAGAATGCTTTTAACAATAGCATTATATATTCTTTTTTTCTTGATCTAGTTATTTCTTCACTCCCGAAAATGTCAATGAATACAATCCAAAAAAAGGAAAAAGAGAGGAAGACCCAGACAAACTTTGTACAATGGAGTAAAGTTAGCATGTAGTGAAAAAGGGATTAAAGAGGGTTGTGCAACATCCTTTATTTGACAATTTCTTACATTTGCCAAAACATATTTCAAGCACAGCTCCTCTTCAGTTGGCACTGTAACATAAAATCCTAAAATATAAATTTATGATATTATTCCAAAAGAGAGTAGTGGCCAAGAATGCTTTTGTTCTGTTTTATAACAAAACAAAAGTATTCCTGGCCACCACTCTCTTTTTTTATTATTTATTTATTTATTATTATTTAAAATGTTTTATTGTAAAAAGTATTCCAAGCCATAGCTCCTTTTTAGAATAATGTCATCATAAGTTTATATTTTAGAATTTTACACATTACAATGCCAACTGAAGAAATGTTTTGACAAATGTAATAAATTGTCAAATAAAGGATGTTCTGAAGTCATGTGTTTTTAAATATACTTTGTCTACATTACAATATCTACAGTGCATGTTTAAATCATCTTCAGATATTACATAATGAAATAAAATAAAATTTGTTTTTGAAGAACCAAAAGCTTTTGTTAACTTTATTGTTTAATAAGTCAGGTTTAAGATTTGGAATAAAGATATTAAATAATACAATTAATTGAAGTATATGATTCTACAAACAAATTTTACTTTCTTCCATTATGTAATATCTAAAGATGATTCNGAGAATAGAATTTGGGCCCGTCCGGGATTTGAACCCGGGACCTCTCGCACCCAAAGCGAGAATCATACCCCTAGACCAACGGGCCACTGCACAAAGCATTCTATAATATCATATTTAAAACTAACATAATTTTTAATAATTAATGTGGTAATTAATATTTAATGATAATTTATTGATCAATGATTAATTTTGTATAAATTTAATAATATATGAAATTCCATAAATAATATCTACATATTTTTATGTTAACAGATGTCGCCACCTTCTAGTAGCCAGTGTAATTGTATATAATCTTCCTGTATGCAAATAATTATTTAAATCCTCTGTTTATTTGCTTTATAATATTAATAATTAAAATACGTGACGATTTTTTTAAAAAATAAAATTAATTAATTAAATTTTGAATTTCTGCACGTAAGAATTTCAGTAAATATTTACACATTTTCCAGTTGAAATGCGATTTATTTTGCAGCTAGATGTAGAACATAATTAACCTTTTATATCTTTTATAAATGTTAAAGTTGCAGCGAAAATAATTTCCATGTTTGATGAAAGGTAATGATAATGTATAATTAAAATGTGAATACAAAGACATTCATTTAAATTAAAATAGGGCAAGAAAATTAATTTTTTTTTCTAAATTTTGTCATTTCTTTTATTAGAATTTAAAAAATATATATTTTTATTCTTGAATTATAATTCAATATTATATTATTATATCTTATTACTTTTGTATTCATATTTTAATTATATATCTTCATCATAATACAAGTCATCAGACATTAATGGGCATTGAGTTCAAGGTTATTGATGATGAGGACGATGACGACATTGCTGATGATCATTTTTGATCAAGCGTGGAAATTACAAACATGTTATAAAACTATAAAATTATGATCATTATATGTTAGTAAAATTATAAAATAATATTATTAAGTTATATGTGCAGGGTGGATCTAGGGTGGAAAGAAGGAAATTTTCAATGAGTTTTCGCCCCCCCCCCGACTCACACATAACATACACACACACTTATACTATATATATATATATACAGTATAAGTGTATTTTATTAAAAACTTTCATAAATTTTTGAATTTGCTTATGCATATTGAAAGTCATATTAATATAAGATGTGTGTATGTATATATATATACAGTACATACATCTTATATTAATATGTATATATATACATACACACATCTTATAGTGTGCGTGTGTAAAATTATGCATCTAAATACATAAACATTGTTTTTAAATAAATTTTAAAAAATTATTATATTTTTATTATTACAATATAAATGAAATACACTATTTTAAATTGAAATTTTATATGAAAATGAGTAAGAAACAAATTTATTAGAAAGTAAATAAACAAGTCTTGTGGAAAGATTTTAGAATTTGATAACTTTATGCTCGCGAGAGTAAATATAGAAAAATATTTAATTCTTATTAATTTTTATACATTTTAAAATTCTTTGTTAAGCTCGATTAATAAAGCAAATTTTCATGTTGTAGGTATAATTATTTAAATAAAATGATAAGATTTTGAATAATTAAAATAATAGAAACAAATCATTTTTGTTGGACAAAACTAGTATTTCCAGTATACACAAGTTGTAATTATATTAAGATATGTAATAAAGGTTATGGAATGTTTAATGTCATCTTTGAGGAAATTCATAACATAATTTCATTTTTTAAATTGAAAATGTCTTTATTGAAAACTTTCATAAATTTTTAAATTTGCTTATGCATATTGAAAGTTATATTAATATAACTGACTTTCCTCATAATATATATAGACTATATATACATTTATAGTTTTAACTTTATATATTTATATTAGATCATTAACTTATAATATACTAAAGCAATAAATTACAATTTAATAACAATATATATATTTATTTATATATATTAATTTATATTCTATTTATATCTTATTATATGTCACAGGTTTCACTGGATTTTATTAAGCTTAAAGTAAATAAATTTCTATTTTATTATACATAATCGATTCTAAAACTGTAGCCTATTTTAGTTTTTTTATACGTGGAAATATTCACTATATTTTCACTTTTTCTTTAATATATTAGGAAAGAACAACCAAAATATTTTAACACAACACAAGTTGTATTTTAAGCATAAAACGTCACTTATAGTTGTCTTAAAGGTTTACTAAGAGACTATGCATACAATATTAAGTGGTATATTCCCCTATTTTTACATCTTATTCAGCATTGGAAATATTCCAGGAAAATGTCCCACATTCTAACTTGATAATTTTTTTCTTTTAAACATTTAGTAGTTTTGTTTTAAATAAATATTTTAAAAATCTATTTTTCCTTTCCATGAATATTTTTTATTATAATTATACGAATATAAAATTCAGTTTATTAATGTATCTAAGTCATAAAAAAAAACTTAAAGAATTAACGTAAAATTAAATTTGTAATGTTACATGAATGATAGTGACATAATTTGGGTCTTTCACAAGAGAGTGGCGTCATTAATATGGCTTAAAAAAATATGGCCGGAGCTACTCAGATCAATTTCAACTATTGAAATATTAAATTACTACTGGTTGACGGTGTAGCCGAATTACATGGTCATTCGCCATTGATGTCGTTAATAGAAGTACAGGCGAGGCATTCTCATTTGATCTTAACTGTGAAGTCTTATTTCAGAATGTTTTTCATGTAGACACTAAGCACATAAGAAAGGATAATGCTAACACAAGCTTTTCTATCGCTAAAAATATCTCTATAAATCGAAATTTTTCGAATATTTTCAATATTCTTCGACAAATTTTGTAAAATAAATACTACTAAGCTTCTCCATTCACTTTTAATTCACAAGTGTCATCTTATGAAATATAAATGAAATATATCCAGAGGTTGAAACATTAATAGTCGTTAAATATATTAACTTAAAACCTAGTTTAAAATAAGAAAATATATTTAATTAAATTATTTATTATCCTTATTTTAAAGACCAATCTTTAGATTATTAAAAGATCCATGGATCAAGTTTATTTCTGTATACAACTTCGATTTAGCGTTAGTATTTCTTTGCCTCTGAAAGTAGCGTTAAATCCAATGTGATGCTAACAATAAGGTTTTATATAGTCCTACGGTAATGAGGTCTACACACAAGTTGAGTTTGAGTGTAAAATCTACGTGATTTGGTGATAATATGGTTAGTAATGCAAAATCATACATTTAATAATTCACAGATATCGAATGGCTGTCTGTTTAATATTTACTAAAAATATCTATTCACGTGTATTCATTGGCTTTACGAGGGTGACGTTATTCAGGACGGCGGTCTATCGAAGTTAACTAAATTATTATGAACTCAATGTTATAAGCAAGTATATTTATTTATTTAAGCATACTGGTACAACCATAATGCAGGGAAAAATCATACAAAATCATACAATATGTCCGTTAAAACAAAACATAAAATATAAGCAAGTATAACTTAATGTCCTTAAAATAATAATTAATCGCTTTTTAATAAATATCTTATCGATACATCTTCGATTGTAAGATATACTGTGAGAGATCAATAGCACTTGGTGCACTTTTTTCAGTTATTTACCATTGAAAAACAACAGAACTCTCATTTAAAAGGAAACCCCAGTTTAATTTGAGACATCTTTAAAATCGTCTTTCCTTTATTAAAATTGATTCTAAAAAGGAATAATTGTTATGCCTCCTACGACATAGGCTTTGCTGCTTGTTTAATATTTCTTGTACACTGACACTGATTAATACTGAATAAACTGGTTTATGTTAAACTGGTTTAATTACTACAAATATAGAATATTTAGTAGAAAGTTAAACTACCATTGAAATTTTGTTAATGTGATTTAATTTATTCACCTTCATTTTTATATGGCAGATGCTACAATTTTAACTTAGAAGTTATTGTATTTTTATTAAATTATTCAATAAACGAAGACACTTTTCGTTATCAGTTTAGATAATTTAACGCGGTTACTGTTTTATTTAAAGTTAATGCATATCGTTTGTTGCATGCACAAACTAAATTTAGAAACAAGATTTTCTTAATCTGATTTTTAAATCGGAATTAGTTCTATATTTAAATTAATGGAATAATTATTTAATCTAGAATAAAATACCAGCACAGAAAAATTATAAAATGTCTACTATACACTCTTTAGCGTACATATTTTATGCATTTACATATATATTATTACAACTTTTTAATGTAAAATTAAATTTTATCGTCTTAATTTTCTTTCTAATATTAAATAAACACAATAAAAACTGTTTTAAATAATAATTACTTAATGTAAATATTAAAAATGTTATAAATATAGCAATATTTCACATTTGTATTCATTTGTTTTGTTGATAATTCATAATAAGGACAGCTTAAAATAGTGAATAAAGGGGCATTTTGGTGATGCTCAAAAATAGAATCGCATTTATCTAAAATGGTAGTCATACTGTCGAGTTACTTAACTGATGAAGAAAGACTAGCTAGAAAATTAATTATCTAAATGATGAATTTTGTCTCTCTGTACAAGATCCTATAAATAAATACTACTGTTTGTTCGTAATTAATCTACTGTAAACTTAAAATAGATAAGCATTACAATTGATTTAGGCTAAAAAAGAAAAAAAAATTAGAATACATTTTAAAAAAAAATTAAAATATCAATATTTAAGTTAATACTTGGAAAAATTATAATATAAATAAGCGAAAAAGTAGACACATTTATAGACATAATAAGAATTCAAGGGGACAAGAAAAAAAATGAAAAAGTAACAAAGTAACTCAAATGGAAAAGTGTCATAAATCAACTTCGTCCCAAATCGGAGGGTGAAGAGAGTGTTTTTTTCTCTCTTTTTCCACTTAAGTAAAGTGGATAATTATAAAATGAAACTAGAATGTGAACTTAAAACAAATTACAATTTAAGGATGATTGAATGTATTTTAATATAATCGTGCTTAAAACAGAATTAAATACAAAATAATTTAATAGTTCTGGGTTTTAACAGTTTAAGAAACATATTGGACATAAAAAAGTTACATTGTAAATTCGATACTATACTTAGTTTTATTTTTGCGATTAAATATTTATTTTAGTTTTGATTTAATTTGTTTCGTTTATTATTTAGAATTGTGGGTTTTACTCATTCGCGGAGAAATAATTTTTTTTTTTTGTTAAACATATATATCATTATAACTAATTTATTATGTAAACAATGTCTTTATCTAATAGTTAATAAATTGTTAAAAATTTAGGAATAACGATGGAAATGATGGCTTTTTTATTAATTGTTCTTCGAGAACGTTAGAGTTAAACACATTGTTTTTCGTCTTCAGGTTGTACATTTTCAGAATGAGGACCGCATTGAGTAGTATCAATATCTTCTACATAGCTAAAAGCAGTTAGCATGAATGTCTTGTACAAATAACATTGTTGTTGATTGCAGCACCAAAAGTGCCATAGTGGTGAGCTTTGGTACTACTAATTTTTTGCAGAAATATCTTTTGAGTTCCTGAAATGCCATCTGACAGATTCGATTGCATTTAGACTGCTAACTATCTCTCTAGACAAATTTAAATAGGAATATATTAATTACCATCACCTGATATATTAATATTAAAATAAAAATTAATTTAAATGTAAAAAAAATTATTTAATCAATTTTATAAAGCATAATTTAATATTATAACATTATTTATCTTTCTAATAAATAGTACAGGATTTAATTAATTAGAAAATTAATATTGTTAAATAAGAATTAATTAATTAATTATTATTTTTTACTAACGAACAATGATTATTATTATTAATTGTCCTAATTTAATAAAATATTCAGACAATTAATATAAAATATTTGTTTATTTATTAGTAAGTCACAATTTAGAAAAGAAAATTGTTCATATTTATGTCAGAATATTAATAATTTCTAATTATGTAATTTCTCTTTCTTGTTTGAAAGAGGAGCATAAATGTTAATAATTAAGCATTCCATATCTATACTTTAATTTTTTTTTAATGTTGTAAATAATCATAGAAATTCTTTGCTTTTTTAAATTAAAATAGAGCTTCATTTATTGGTATTTTTTACTTTTAAAAACGAAGAGTCCATTTTAAACGTAGGAAAAATGTATCTATAGGCATTACTATGAATCTTATAAAATAGGACTAATGAAATCGTCCAGCGAATATATTTTGTCGACGGTGAAATATAGTAAATCACTCAAATATTTCACATTTATTCTAATTGCATTGAAAATTCAACCACTTTCTGTAATTTTAAATTTAATAAATCGAACAATCAGAAATCTCGTGTCTCTCATACAGTTACACATAGAACATTATCACACACGTACAATTTATTTTTTATATAACGATCGCTGGGATATATAAATTGATATATATAATAAATACTGCTTTAGTTCGAATTTAGGATGGATTTTTTTTTATGTTTCCGAATTTAAGGTTGAGATACTTTTTAAATTCGTGGTGTTCTTAGACACTCTTCATAAATCTGTACATGGAGGTTTTACAGTATTTTCTATTTATTGTATATATTTATTGTTATATTTTAATTTAATGTAATTTCTGTGAATAGATTTTTTTTAAATTATAGAATTTAAAAAATTATAAAATTGATTTTATAACAGAATATTTATTCAATATTTAAACTATAAAAATAAATTATAGAAATATAAATGATTATTATTTTATTTAGGATAACGTCAGACCAGATAGAGTTAGCAGAATCATTTGGCCCAAATCAAATCTCGAACACAAAGAAGTCCCCAAAATTTTTCCTTTTATATAAATAACATGACAGGAATGTAATAGAAATTAAGCTTGGTAAGTGATTAGAATAATGTTTTTATTTCTTTTATTGACTTCATTCATATTATTTTTATGGCATTCGGAGAAGACTCAAGCCGTCCATTTACTACTAGTCTGGGCTCCATTTCGTCTTTCCTAGTCTCTGAATACTATAAAAATATACCATAGTAAATTTTGTTCAAACTCAAAAACTTAAATTTTTAATATTTTTATAACTTCAAATGATGATTTTGTATGTATATATGTGTGTGTGTATGTGTGTTGGGTGTGTTTGTGGAGGTACGATTTTGTTCGCCCTCTTTGAAGCTTAATAACTCCTGTACTTTTTGTCGAAAATTTCTGAAATTTTGCAGAAAGGTTTGTGTATTAGGGAGATTAATGCCATTAAATTTTAGTGCTTAAAGATCTAGGGGACTGGGGAGATGAAGAGGGTTGTATATCATATCTCGAGTAGGGTCTGACTTGATGACGATTTTACTAGTTATTAGCATGTACAATTTTTTTTATAAAACCAATCCTTATCTTCAAAATTACGCTTTTTGCCATTTTATAATAGTTAAATATATAAAAAGTTTTAAAAATAAAATATCATAACAGATAACGTTACCAAATGTTGCCGGGAAAGTTGAGCAACTCGTTGCTAGATTTTTATTGATTATTGCTATTAAATTATAAAATAAAATTTTATAACATAAATCGACTGAAATAGAATAAGTAAAATATATAAAGAACATACTTTTTCAATATTAATTTATAAAGAGACTTTTTATTTTTATAAATTGATTTTTATAAATTTATTTCAAAATTTTAAATATTAGATATTTATCTATTTTTATACGCATTGAAATGTTTATATACAAATTTTATTTTTATATTTATTTAAATTTTAAATGACTTTTTAAATATATAAATTATATATAAATGTACAATATTTATAAAAAAATAAAAGAAATAATATTTAAAATATACAGACCTCTTCCCCGCTCATTCGGCTAAATTTGATTATTTTCCAATGCCCTTTTACGTATATACAATTTATATTATTGAAAAATCT